TCCAGCAGCCTCGTACGCAGCCTGTTTGAGGGTGTAAATATGAGGCCGTCTCCATTTTCCATTTATAATGAATAAGGTGGAGAAAGTGAGGGTGGCCTTGCTCTCGGCGCTCTGGTGAATAGCAGTGTGGACGTGTGGAGACGCCGGTTTAAAGGAATAGTTCTCCACTGACTTTGGATGTGGCTGATCAGCCAAGACACTTTGGAGTCTTCAGTTTATTTTAGTTTAGTTGAGAACTGGAGCTACGAGGCTAAAGATGCTCACACTAGAACTCAATAGACACCCAAATGTTTTCTGTAAATACATCCCGAAAACGTCACATGCGCTGCCTGGGCAGAGGAACATCATCTAGAACCTCTTTCATCCTAAACATGGACTTTTCACCCTCCTCCCATCTGGCAGGCATCACAGGAGCGTCCACTCCCGCACCAGTAATAAAGAAAATGGTTCTATATAGAACCATGAACATGCAAAGAACCCTTCGCACGATTAAAGGGTTTTTGCATCATGAAAGGGTTCTTCAGACTAATTTAGGATGTGCTGTAGATGGTGCTGTTTTGATATTTTTCAATATAGCACCCAAAAGGGTTCTTCTACTGTAACAAGCTTGACATCGTTACCATAGAGGAACCCTTTTGGGTGCTATATAGAGCCCTTTTCGAAAAGGTTCTCTATAGAACCATCTACAATACCTTTTTCATCACTCTGAAGAACCATCTGTGATAAAGTGTGCCCCACTACTACAGCATACTGCTGGGCCGAGGGACACGCTTTATCACCATGCAAAGAACCTGTTAGTCATGTGAAGAGTTCTTTGCGTGTTCATGGTTCTGTATAGAACCACTGTATTTACTAAAGAACCCTTGAAGAGTCCCTTGACCTGCTGAACACCACACCACCACTCTAATAGCATCATTACTGCACTGTTTACAGAACTTTACTGACCATGTAATTTGCATTTTTCATGTTTGCACAGTCTGTTACTGTACATAGAACCTACTGCACATGGTTTTTGAAAACTTTTTATGGTTCTTCAAGGGTTCTTTAGTAGAGAAAATGGTTCCGTATAGAAACATGAACACTCAAATAACCATCGGTATGATTAAATGGTTCTTTGCAAGGTGACATGTTCTTCAGATTGATGGAGAATGTGCTGAAGATGGTTCTATATAACACCTTTTTGAAAAGGGTTCTGTGTAGCACCAAAAGCGTTCTATTGTTGTTACAGCGTCAAGCATGTAACAACAAAATAACCCTTTTTGGTGCTACATAGAACCATTTCACCATGCAAAGAACCCTTTAAGCATGCAGATGTTTTTTGAGAGTTCTTGGTTCTGTATAGAACCACTGCCTTCTTTACTAAAGACCCCTTGAAGAACCATCTTTTTTTAGAGTGTACTCTCCATACTTTAACCATATTTACATGTGCTGTTCATACAGTAAAACACTTAAAGACAGTTCTTCAAAGGTTCTTTAGTAAAGAAAACATGAACACTCAAAGAACCCTTTCTTCGCATCGTGAAAGGGCTCTTCACATTGAGGGAAAATGTGCTACAAATGGTTCTATATAGAACCTTTTTAAAAAAAGAAAATAGACCCAAAAGTGTTCTTCTATTGTTGCAAGGCTGACTTTGTAACAAAAGAAGAACCCTTTTGGGTGCTATATAGAGCCCTTGTCAAAAAGGTTCCTTATAGAACCATCTCTAGCACATTCTCCATCAGTCTAAAGAACCATTTCATGATGCAAAGAACCCTTTAATTATGCAAAGAGTTCTTTGCGTGTTCATGGTTCTATATAGAACCATTTTCTTTGCTGAAGAACCCTTGAAGAACCCTTTTTTAAGAGTCCCTTTACCTGCTGAACTCCACACCACCACTCTAACTTGGAACCATGAACACACAAAGAATCATTTGCATGATTGAATGGTTCTTTGCTTGTTGATATGGTTCTTCAGATCAAAGGAGAATGTGTTGTACATGGTTCTTTATAGTACCTATTTGAAAAGGGTTCTGTGTAGCACCAAAAAGAGGTCTGTTATTGTTAGAATGTCAAGCTCGTAACAATAGAAGAACCCTTTTTAGTGCTATATAGAACCATTTCACCATGCAAAGAACGCTTTATGCATGCAAATGGTTCTTTGAGTGTTCATGGTTCTGTACAGAACCATTGTCTTTACTAAAGAACGCTTGCAGAAACATGAAACTACGTAAACGTCGTAATTGGATCTTAAAGCAAACAAATAAAACACAAATAAAATGTAGAATACGGGCCTTTAAGGGTTAAGTGTCACTGCTATATAGTTCTACATAGAACTGTTTCTGTTTCTACCACTTGAATGGTTTTTGCACGATGAAATGGTTCTTCAGATTGACGGAGAAGGAGTTGGTCTGAAATAGAACCAAAAATAGTTCTTCTATTGTTACAAGCTTGACATCATAACAATATTTGAACCCTTTTCAAAAAGGTTCTGTATAGAAACATATACAACACATTCTCCATCAATCTGAAGAACCATTTCATGGTGCAAAAGAGCAAAATCTTCATGAACTTCATGATCTTTACTAAAGAACCCCTGAAGACAAATCTGTCTTACATGCTATGTAAATATGCAAATAGATAGACTTTTATTTTATTTCTCTTATACTTTAATTTATGTGTAGTTTTATTTCTATTTTTTATTTTCTGCATAGTAAATTTATGTGTAATTATATGTTTCACTACTGAAACACTGCAGTTTCCCTTCTGGATCAATAAAGTTCTGTTAATCTGTCTGTCTGTCTGTCTGTCTGTCTGTGTATCTATGTGTCTGTCTGTGTATCTGTCTATCTGTCTGTCTGTGTATCTGTCTGTCTGTCTATCTATCTGTCTGTCTGCCTATCTGTCTGTCTGTCTGTCTGTCTGTGTGTCTGTCTATCTATCTGTCTGTCTGTCTGTCTATCTATGTGTCTGTCTGTGTGTATCTGTCTGTCTGCCTATCTGTCTGTGTGTCTGTCTATCTATCTATCTATCTGTCTGTCTGTGTGTCTGTCTATCTATCTATTTATCTGTCTGCCTATCTGTCTGTGTGTCTGTCTATCTATCTATCTATATATCTATCTATCTGTCTGTCTGTCTGTGTGCCTGTCTGTCTATCTATCTGTCTGTCTGTTTGTCTGTGTGTCTATCTGTCTTTCTGTCTGTCTTCCTATCTGTCTGTGTGTCTGTCTATCTATGTGTCTGTCTGTGTGTATCTGTCTATCTGTCTGTCTATCTATCTGTCTGTCTGTCTGCCTATCTGTCTGTCTGTCTATCTATCTATTTATCTGTCTGTCTGTCTGCCTATCTGTCTGTCTCTGTGTCTGTCTGTCTGTCTGTGTGTCTGTCTATCTATCTATCTGTCTATCTATCTAAAAAACTCCAAAAATAATGGAATTCATTGTCTTGGATGACCGGCGGTTCTCTGCAGTGGAGGACGCTGGGTTTCATGGCGCGTTCTGTAGCTGCATGATCTGTGTGTTAAAGGGCAGAGAGACTGAGTGACCCTCGCGCTGGTCAGGATTTGAGAATTTTGAATTGGCTAACAGTGAGAAACTGTGATGCTGACGATGCTGCACATTGTTTATGTCCGCTCTGAGAGCGAGATGAGTTCCGTCTGCAGTAGGTCTGTCACAGCTGAGAGTTCACTGATCTGCAGGAGGAGGTTTCCTCTCTGCTCTGTTAAAATGCAGACAGCATATATTCATACTTACACAGCGCTGTGCAGACGTCTCAGGCACCGAGGCACTGAGGCGTCGAGGCACCGAGGCACACTGTGTCAAACCATTCGTCTGGGCACAAAGTGCGTTTTTGCTTGTAAAACCACTAAATAACATTAGAATTTTAATATAAAATACAAATAAACCAAAAAAAACTATTGTTTTCAAAAAGGTGGTGGTTCCAGACAGAAGGGGTTTGTTAAATTTTATAATCAGCACCAACTGATGAAATTCAGTGAAGTATTGATTAGGTAGAGCAGGTATTGGATGAGAACCACAGTTAATACTGGTCTTCCTCGAGGACAGAAAATGGTTAAACACACACTGACGCACATAAAATCTACTTATTGTATTAATGTTATTTGTGTTCAACAGAATATTTGTGTTTTTTTCTGAACAAACGAATGTTTACTGCCCAGATTAACAGCTATATAAATCTATAATCAATCTCGGATTTCTGGAACAGTATCTTCTATAGATACAAATATATATGTATTATAGAATTTAATTTAATTTTATTTTATTTTAATTCTATTACTGCTTTTATTTAATAATTTTATTACCTTTTATAATCCTTTTACTTGAGTGTTTTAAAGTGCTTTTATTTTATATTTTTTCTTCTTTGGTTATTTTTCTTGTCTGTTTTTTTGTTAATTTGTTAATGAAGTTTTGTTTATTTTAGTTTAACCTGATTAAATTTTCCATTTTCATTTCTCTCTCAATCCCTTTAATGTTGTAAATGCTCAGCTATGCTGAAAATGTGGGTCACCCTCAATATATTGTTGAATGAAAATAAAGGTTGATTGATAGATGACTGAAAAAAATGTGATAAATGACTCAAATCAACTATTTAAGTGTAAAAAATGAAACATGAAAAATTGAATAAAATCGAAAGAAAAATAAAACAAGATGAGAATAAGATCAAACAAGGAAATGAATTCAAATGATTGAAATAATAATAAAATAATCATAATTAAAACAAGAATAAGAATAGGAATAATAATAAACAAACAGATAAATAAATGGGAAAAAATAATAAAATTACTAAAATAATGAAAAAAAGACAATAATAGTGAAAATCAGGTAAAACGGTGTCAGGCAGAGTGGAGGTGGTTAGAGAGTAAAAGTTTAAAATGACTGAGTGACTCAGCGAGTAGATAAACCAACATAGACTAAAAAAAAACAAAAAAAAGAATAAAACACAGAATTCAGACCTTTGAAGGTTGAGTGTTACGGCTCTGACTGTAATGTGTTTCTCTCTCCAGCGTTGGTCATCACTGATGGACCGCAGGATAAGTCCGGCCTTGGAGATGAAGTGGGCAGCGAGGACGATCTTTACAACGAGTTCCGCAGCTCGGCCAATCGCTTCGGCCATCCAGGAGGAGGAGGAGGAGAGCAGCTGGCCATAAACGAGGCAAGACCCTGACCGTTCACTCTGTCTGAGATTCTCTGCAACCACAACAGCACTGATGGCGTTAAGGTTCAGTGCAGCTGCTTATACACAGTGACAGAACAGCAGGTTTAGAACAGGAACACGTTAGAAACATCCATATATAGATATATGTAGGCTGCAGACAGAGGGCGCTCTACTGAAGCTACTGCTCCAGCACCACATACTCATTGGCAGTAGGAGATCCCCATAAACTTACACTGGCCACACCTTATTAACGCGTGGAAATGAGATCCTAATGCATGGAAACGACTTAGTAAGGTATGGGAATGAGATCCTAATGTGTGGCCACAACTTAGTAAGGCGTGGGAATGAGATCATGCCTAACTATTTCATGGCCATGTATTAGGATCTCGTTCTGACGCCTCATTAAGTTGTGGCACGACTTAATTATCTTGTTCCCATACCTTACTAAGTTGTGGCCACCCATTATTATTTTAAAGGTCTTTTTCTTTAAGATAAGCATCATAATTGAATGTAGTTTTACATTTAAGGCATTTCTTTTTTGTTTTATTCGACTTCTATCGATACAGAAATGCTCATTTTGGCTGTCGTCTCTATGGGAATCAGTATAGATAGTGTTCGATTGACGCTACACTTTTCATCGCCGCCATAGGAGGAGCTCTGTGTTTATGTGTAGATATTTTCTGCTTTAGCTTGACAGTGAATGCAGTTAATGGCAGAACTTAAGTGAGACTGACGTAACTTAAGCTAACACTGATTAACTCCATCAAACACAGAGACGCAGCCGTTAATCGCTTTTGCCGTTACGATGGTGTTTGATGGTGTAGTTCACGTGTCAGGCTCCCATCCTCGCGGGCCGAAACACTGCAGACCTCAGCTCACTGCCTCTTTAATCACACCTGATTCAGCTCTTCAGCTAATTAAGGCCTTCGTTAAATTAATTCAGAGTGTTAGATGAGAGTAAACGCAGATCTCCACAGCACTTTGGCCTGGAAGGTCCCCAGTTTGACATGCCTGGTGTAGTTGATGGTAAAGACAGAATATCACTGTCTCTTCTGCTGCGGTATTGAAGGACAACCAGGACTAGATAACTAGATAACTTATTGATAACTAGATAACTTATTGATTTAGTATGGATCAACACCTCTGATCAAACCGACTTTTTCTTCATATCTTTAAAAGCCATAGCTGGCACTGACCACTCGTACACGTTATACTGAGAGAATGTCAACAAAACAGACGCTTTTTCCAGGTTTTGTGAGTATTATCTGTATTATCAGTCTAACTGAGGTGTACTTCCAGTTCTCTACACTGGATTTAATTTTATTTTTACTCTGTATGGTAAAGGTGGAGTTTAGTAACTCGGCCCATTCATGTAAATGTGAAACGGGACACGAGGCGACTGTTGGGTCATTCTGCCATCGCGGAGTCAAACGGTGTCCCACAACTAAAACCTTGAACATGAGCTCACAAATTTGTCCCTTTTCATAGCAGCCATTAAATGCAGTTTTAGCTTGTTTTTGCAGGTCCCTCCGTTCAGCACTGACGTTTATTATTTTTAGATTCAATTAGAATTTTTACAAAACATTTTATTTACATTTTAATCGTAATCATTGGATTAAAGAATTAATGACAATTATCAATTTCCGTTGCTTCCACTAGGATGGCCAGCAGAAAAGGGGTTAACCAACAAAAATTATCCAATAAAATAATGATTTTTTCTGAATTTTTATTCTAGTGATTTTTAGTGTTCTGCATCAGCATCACAGCAGGGACTTTAAAGATGCTAAGGTATTATTTTTGTGTAATTCAACAATTTCCATGTTTGTTTTTCAGTTTAGATTGTAAAAATGCATTGTCCTATGTTAGAATTTAAAAGTAAAGTATTAAAAGTATATATAAATATAACTGCATTTTGATAAAAAGTTTTTTGGTCAGTGGTGTTACAGAAACAGAAAATGTCATTTAAAAAATGAAATAATATGAATGCAGTATTTTTCATTTTCTACATTCAGTGTGACTTTGAGCCTAAAGTGTCGGTGGACTGTGTTTTAGAAACGCTCAGAGGAGTTAGAGCTCTACTGTGACTGACCGCAGTGGTAGAATGACCCTTTCTGGTGCCTTTTGGTTTGGCGTTTGGGTGAGTTCATTCAGTGCGATTGGGGACGAGGCCACCTTGTGGCAGACTCGATTATAAAAATTACCTCCAGCAGCATCCTGCGATCTTCCGGCTGAAAGGTGTCCAGTGTCGTATCAGTCACGCTTCACTTTGGGTGATTTATTGCCGGGACTGTTGGCTTTTTTCCAGCGGCCAGCGCACAGTTTCAGCAGGAAACAGCAGAAAACCTAATCTAGCCTGCGCCTCCGGCTGCAGTGCCCCGTGTTAGAGTGGAGCTCAGTGATCAGCGAGGAGGAACCAGCAGGCGGGTCCAGATGTCGCTGCTGAAGTTGTGCAGAGAATCCTAAAAATTTTTGCTTACATTGTCATATAGTGAGCGAGCTCTGTGCACCGGGGAAATACTTCTGCTTCTGTGGGGGAAACGAAGCATCTGTCGCTATTGTTTTGTGAGCCTTTGTGTGGTAGACAGAAGCTGCTGCTGCCCTGAAAGGTGTCCTATAATAGAGTCGGGGCAGGGAGGAGAAGAGAGAGAGTGCAGGTTGAGGAAATCAGACTCTCCTCTAATCCCATTAGCTCTGCTCTGTGTGGATGATGGTGTTAATCTGTCTCTCTGCCATCACGCTGGGGAAATAAAGCTCCTCCTTCAGTGCTTTAATTATATCTGAAGCTGCGCTGCCTTTGCTGTGGCTGTGTGGGCAGAGCAAAGCAGAAGAAGTTACACCAGAACAGCTCAACTGAAACCAGACTGAACCAAACCAGAAAAGGCTAAAACCAAAATAGAACAAAACCAAATTAGAAGAAACCAAATCGGGCCAGTTTCTACCAAACCAATCCAGACTGGACCAGAATAGACCAGACAAGACCGAACCAAAATGAACTCAGCCCATCTCAACCAAACAAACCTGAACAAACCAAACCAGACGGTCCCTAACCGGACCAAACAAATGAGACTAAACAAAACGAGAAGGTCAGACAGACCAGGCCAAACAAATGAGACTAAACAAAACCAGAAGGTCAGACAGACCAGGCCAAACCAATGAGACTAAACAAAACCAGAACGTCAGACAGACCAGGCCAAACCAATGAGACTAAACAAAACCAGAACGTCAGACAGACCAGGCCAAACAAAATGAGAACAGAACAAAAACAGACCAGATCAAACCAGAACAAAACCAAAGCAGAAGAAACTAAATTGAGCAAAACTCTACCAAGCCAATCAAGACTGGATCAAACCAAAGACCAAACAAAAATGAACCCAGTCCATCTCAACCAAACAAACCTGAGCAAACCAAACCAGAAAGACCCCAACAAGATCAGACCAAACAAAACCAGATGAAGCTCAGGCAGACTAGACCAGAACAAACCAAAACAGATCAGACTAAACCAGAACAAAACCAAATCAGAAAAGAACTAAATCAGGCCAAATGAAACCAATCCAGACCAGACAAGACCAAACCGAAAGGAACCCAAACTATCTCGACCGAACTAACTAGAGCAAACCAAATCAGAAGTACAAACAGACCAGACCAAACAAACCAGACAAAAAAGCCATAAGAAGCCAAAACAGAGCAGACCAAACAAAACCAGAATGGGCCAAAACAGACCAGATCAAATCAGAACAAAACCACATCAAAATACTTCAAACCAGCACAGACCGTGTCAAACTTTAATACTGGAGTATACCAAACCAGGTCATACCAAACCAAACCAGAGCACACCAATACAAACCATATCAAAACAAACCAGAGCACACCAATACAAACCATATCAAAACAAACCAGAGCATACCAATACAAACCAGAGCATACCAATACAAACCACATCAAACCAAACCAGAGCATACCAATTCAAACCACATCAAACCAAACCAGAGCATACCAATACAAACCATATCAAAACAAACCAGAGCATACCAATACAAACCAGAGCATACCAATACAGACCAGAGCATACCAATACAAACCAGAGCATACCAATACAGACCAGAGCATACCAATACAAACCATATCAAACCAAACCAGAGCATACCAATACAAACCAGAGCATACCAATACAAACCAGAGCATACCAATACAGACCAGAGCATACCAATACAAACCATATCAAACCAAACCAGAGCATACCAAACCAAACCAGAGCATACCAATACAAACCAGAGTATACCAATACAAACCATGACATACCAAAACAGATGGTAACATACCAAACCAGTCCAGTCCAGACCAGACAAAACTAAAATAAGCCAGTCCAAACCAGATCACACCAAACCAGACCAGACCAAAATAAACCAAACCAGACCAGACCAGATCTATAAAACTGATCGCTCCCTCTCAGATGTCCTTTACAATAATATATAAACAAACCCAAAACATTGCATGAAAGTCGAGATGCTTAACGTCTGTTTCACAGTCAAAGCAGTGAACCTGCTTAAATAAACCTCGATTACTGATCGTTATGATTGATTAGATTCTGAGTGAATGGCTGTCATGCTGCACTACAATTAATGCAACAGTTAAAAGGAAAATGTGAAAGCAGGATAGAAATAAAGTGAAGAAGGGACAGGAAGTGGACAGGAAGGGACAGGAAGTGGACACATTAAAACAATCCTGAAATACACAGAAATCTGTACAGTAACAGACAGCTGAGGCAGCCAATCAGAGCGCGAGGATGTGAGAGGATACAGAGAGCGGCTGTGATTCTGCATCCTCTCCTCCTCCCTCCTATCTCGCTCTCTCTCGCTCGCTCGCTCGCTCGCTCTGCTGCTGAGGCCCAGCCTCCTCTACTCCCGTATCCAGGATACGCTTCACAGCCCTGCAGTCTCATTGGCTGGCAGAGATAAGGAGGAAAAAAGAGAAAAACACACACAGAGAGGAGCGAGTGA